CGGATAGTAAATAATTTCAAATGGAAATATGGTCAACATCAAAGTTGTTGAGCCTTTCAAGATCTACAAGTTTTATTTTTGTCATTTTTCTATATAACTTTTTTTCCCAACAACTTGAAATTGAATTTGAATATGTGACAAATATAAACAGCATTTGTAAATACTAAATGATTTCAAATGGAAATATAGTCAACAACAAAGTTGATCCTCTCATCAAGATCTACAACTTTTCTTTTGGTCATTTGTAATAAAACAAAATTATCCATATTAATGACTACACATATTAAGTCTTTGCAATAAAACAATAAAACAAAATACTTCATTGATTACAGTAGATAAGTACGAATGCATCGGTCACAAGGTTATGCCTTCCGTATGATCTGAACGAGCATATGCCACAGGCTCTTGGGGATCATCATCAAGGTCAATGTGAGGTCTTACATGAAGATTATGGTTGTATTCTTCTTCATCGACGACGTTGTCAACTCCTACAATTCGGCACTTTCCATCCCTCACGATGTGCATCTTCTTGTTTGAAGGGTCTTTTATGTAGAATATCTGCTTGACCTGTTTCGCAAGTAGAAATGGTTCATCGGCGTATCCCACCTTTGATAGATCTACTAAAGTGAAACCTTCCTTGTCGGCTTTGACACCAGTGCGTAGATTCACCCAACGGCAGCGGAACAAAGGAACCTTGAACTTGAGTAGTTTAGCTCCCAGATCTCCTCAATGCGGTCGTAGTATGTGTTTGACCCAACTTGATCCTGGAATGCATCTATACGAACGCCGCTATTTTGCACTATGCCTTTGTCATCTTGTTTGACGGTGTAAAATGTGTATCCATTTATATCGTATCCTTGCCATGTGTCTACGGTCCAAGACGGTCCCATCCCTGACAACTGTACTATCTCATTTGGGACATCCGTGGACATTGTCACACGATTCTTGAACCATTCGTTGAACCGAGAATTATGTTCTCTGCTAATCCATGCATCAGATCGCCCCAAGTTCTCATCTCGGATTTTCGCTAAGTGCTCCTCAAAGTATGAGCCACCTTCTGCCATATGTTGGAGCACAGCGTAATGAGCCTGTGCGTACGACGCTTGATCGGGGCTAATTCTTTTCCTTCCGATTGTGCCAACACCTGACAACCTTCCCTCGTGACGAGACGCAGGAACTCCGATAGGATCGGCATCGGACATGTAATTGACACAGAACTCAATAGCCTTCTCGGTCGTGTAACCTTCAATGATGCTCCCATGTACCTTTCAAACGGCCACATTTCCCTTAGAAAAGCCGGGCCACATAGTTTTGTTTGCTTCACCAGATGAACTGGGAAAAACATCTCCAGGTGACAGAGGGTATTCACAATATCGGTCTGCAACCCATCTAGAACTTCTGGATCTATAACCTTCTGTCCAATTGCATTGAAGAAGGCGCACAGACGTTGGATCGTGTGACACACTTTCGGTGGTAGAATGCCTCTGATAGCAACTGGCAAGATTTGTGTGATTAGCACGTGGCAATCGTGAGACTTCATTCCAACAAGTTTTAGATCGTCTAATTTAACATACTTACTTATCCTCGCTGAATAGCCCGATGGAACTTTAATATCCTTCAAGCATGATAACATTGCGATCTTCTCATCCTTCGACAATGTGTGGCAGGCTGGAGGGAGATACACTCTACCTGTCTCTGCATCTCGTATGGGCTAGAGTTCACTACGAATATTCATGTCCTGTAGATCAAGGCACACGTTCAACCCGTCCTTTGTCTTCCCGCGAATATTCAAAATCAGGCCAACCAAACTCTCACACACATTCTTTTCTACATGCATGAGATCAATGCAATGACGGACATCAAGATCTTTCCAGTAAGGTAGCCGCCAAAATATGGATTTTTTCTTCCACATACCCTTCTCCTTTGTCTTGCTACGTTTTCTTTTCTTCCCAAACTCATTGCTTATGTCCTTGACCATATTGTGGACCTCATCTCCGGATAAATCTTTGGGAGCAAGCTGAAGTTCTCTCTTACCGTTAAAAATTTTCTTCTTTCTTCTAAATGCGTGACGTAGCGGGAGCCAACTCCGATGACCCATGTATACCATCTTTCGTGATTTCTTCAGCCACCGGCTTCGTGTATGTTCCTTGCAATCGGAGCATGCCTTCTTTCCTTTTATAGTTTGTCCGGAAAGATTACCGAGTGCAGGGTAGTCATTAATGGTGCAGAACAATAGAACTCTTAGCTTGAAGTTCTCCTGACCATATGCATCCCAAGTTTCCATACCTTCTTTCCAGAGAATCTCCAGATCGTCGATAACAGGCTCCAGGAATACATCGATATCATTGCCGGGTTGCCTCGGACCTTGGATTAAAAGCACAACATAATATATTTCCGTTTAAAGCACAACCATGGCGGGAGGTTATAGTTCGCAATAAGAACTGGCCAAGTGCTGTGAGTACTACTCATGTCTCCGAAAGGATCCATGCCATCCGTACACAAACATATCCTCATGTTTCTAGGGTCGGCAACAAAGTCTTTGTGTTTTCGATCGATATTCGTCTATTCAATCGAATCCGCTGGCTGTCTAAGCATACCGTCATTCCTTCTCTCCGTGGCGTGCCAACGTACTAACTTCGCTTCGTTCGGGTTGGCAAAGATTCTCTTGAAACGATCAATGATAGGTAGATATCACACAACCTTTGCCGGACCACCCCTCTTTGACTTATTTCCTTCGTCAGCACTTTTCTTTCGCTTGTATCGAGAAGCCTTGCAGACCGGATAAGCATCCAAGTCTGCATATTGCTTGTGATACAATATGCAGTCGTTTGGACAAGCGTGAATTCTACGGACCTCTAACCCCAGTGGACACAGAACCTGCTTTGCTTCGTATGTCGTCTCGGGCAATGTGTTCTCAACAGGAAGCATAGCCTTCAAAATTCCTAAAAGATCTGTGAAACTCTTGTCTGTCCATCCATTACTTGCCTTCAGCTTCATTAGGTCCAAGGTAACTGACAACTTAGTGTGTTTTGCTTTGCATCCAACGTACAGAGGCGTCCCGGAATCACTGACTAACCTGCTGAACTTCATTCCATCTCTCTCATTCTGGGCTGGGTCCTCAACGTCACATAACATGTCTTGCAGCAGATCGTGATCCGCATCAACCATTTCATCGCCCAATGGAGAAGGTATAAGCATGTCAAGCTCATCTTCATCTTCCTGATTATATGCACCACTTCTGTCTGCTGATGCTCCACTTTCTAATTCTTGCTCTCCATGCTTCACCCAACATGTATAGCCCTTCATGAATCCTCGTTGTATCTGATGACCGTGTACGTCTTCTCCACTATCAAACATATTCTCATTCTTGCAATCTGCACATGGACAACACATGTAATCACTGTTTCTTCTTTTCCGATCCTCCTCCGCGGCGTTCATAAAATTTATTACGCCCTTTCTGTACTCCGTAGAATGACGTTTCAAATTTTTCGCATACATCCAACTTCGATCAATTGCTACAAAATAAAAAAAACAAATTACATGCACATCTTATAAGATCAGTATTGTAAAAGTAAGACGTGGTGAAATTGCTCAATTAATGATTAATATTACTCACTTGACTGATCCATTTTGATCACTTTTGGGAATTTTCTTTTTTCCTTGGAAAAAAGACAAAAAAATCGCCCCCTACAGCCTCCCACCAAAATAGTGAACAGTGGGATACAGTTACACTAGATGGTGGGGGTATTTATACTGTGCAACAAATATCTGTAACGGCCCTAAAACAATCAACCGTGACGGGCATACAAGTAATCTCTATCGGGCCTTAATAAAAGCCCGTCAAAAAAGAGTGTCATCTGTGACGGGCATTAAACTTATCTCAATCAGGCCTCTAGTTGGAGCCCGTCACAGATGACCCTCATCTGTGCCGGGCTTCTTTTAGGGCCCGATTGAGATATGGAACCCTCATCTCAATCGGGCCTCAACTATGGCCCGTCACAGATAAGTGTCATCCGTGACGGGCTTTAGTTTTATGCCGATATACCATGGCTGTGTGACCATATCTCAATCGGGCGAAACTTCGGCCCGATTGAGATTACTTCCTTGTGACGGCCCGCAAATTCCAGTCTTGTTATGGGCCGTCACAGATGGAAGGATCTGTACTAGTGTGAGTATTGGCTGCTAACAAGCACATGTTAGGTGCTAAATGGACCTATGGGGTATTGGGACTTTTTTCCTTAAATTATTATTAATGCAATAAAAACATTTGTATTGTAATGTGTTATAGTCAGACTATTTTCTTAAATCATTAATTCACGCAATAAAAATATTTGTATTGTAATATGTGTTTTAGTGAGATCACGATTGTGCTGCTGATTTCGTCTCTTTGATCGTGTGTTAGGAGACGCATTCATGAGTGTGTAGGTGTGACGTTGCGTGTCTAGTGTTGTGTGCGTGTGCATCTACCATGTAATCCAACTCTTCGATGGTGTGTTATAGGAGACGCATTTATGGGTGTGGGTATGACTTTGCGTATGTAGTGTTATGTGCGTGTGCATCTGCCATGTAATCCAAAATATAGCCATGAAATAAAATTAAAGTAAATGTGATACAAACGTGGCATGTTTGCCCTAACTATTATATCAGTAATGGTTTTACTATTCGGAATTAAAAATTAAAAGTTGAGGGGACAAAGTTCTAGGAAATCCCAAACCAAGTTTTCAGACAGTTTTAACATTAGACATATACTTTTTAGGCTAAACATTGGAGATATTTTCACTTAATTTTGAACAAAATTTTACTAAATTCGAATTATTTGGTCAGTGTCACTTGCTGCCAGGACCCAACATAAATCCAAAATATATTAAATCCATAAATTCGAGCGAAAATTTCAAAGCCAGTGACTTCCACCGTGCTCGGTCAACTGTATCTTTGTCACGAGGCCATCCCGCTGGTGGTAGCTTTGCTGACTATAATAATGTCCATATACTGTTCACCTTGAACCCGATCGATCAGTGAAAACGCCATGGCTGCGCTGGTGGTGTTGTGGCCGACCCTACTACCACTAGTTCTGCTTGCAAATCTCCTTCCCCTGCCCCGCCATGGCCGCGCTCTGGAGCTCATGAACTGGTCATGCAACAACGGCAGCTCCTACGCCGCCAACACCACCTACCACAGCAACGTCCGCGCCGTGCTCACCGCGCTGTCCGCCATCACGCCCAACTCCACCGCGCGCTTCGCCACCGCGTCGGCCGGGCGTGGCGGCGCGGACGCGGTCTGGGGCCTCGCGCTCTGCCGCGGCGACACCGACCGCGCCGGGTGCGCGTCCTGCCTCGCCGCCGTGCCGGCCGTCGCCTTCGGCGAGTGCCGCGGCGACAGGGACGTGGCCGTGTTCTACGACCGCTGCCTCGCCCGGTTCTCGTACGCGGACTTCACGTCGAGGCCCGACAACACGGAGGTCCTGATCGGGAGCCCCAGCGAGAACCGCGTCACCGTCGACGCCGGCCGCTTCGACGCGCTCGTGGCCCGCCTCGCCGGCGCACTGGCCGACTGGGCGGCCTACAACTCGACGCGGAGGTACGCCGCCGGGCTGATGGCCTCCGGCGACGGGTTCACGTCGACGACGGAGGACATGGTGCACAACATCCACGGTGTGGTGCAGTGCACGCCGGACCAGGCGGCTGCGGCGTGCCGGGCGTGCCTGGAGACGCTCAGGGTGGACATGCCCAAGGTTTTTGCTGGAAGGATAGGAGGGAGGTTTGACGCCGTGTGGTGCAACCTCAGGTACGAGACCTTCCTCTTCTACGACGGTGACCCAACGGTGAGGCTCGCCGCGTCGCCGTCACCTGGATCATCGTCATCGCCATTGCCGTCGCCGTCGCCGTCACTACCGCCGCTAGAGGGTAAACTTTGCATTCGTTTCCATTTTTGTAAAATTATTATTTATTATAGGTCTTACATCTTGACCACGCTAATATTAGTATTAAAACGTTATATATTAATTACCGGAGGGAATATAACTATGATTATTGTATTATTGTTCTGAGGTAGTAATAATGTATTGCACTTAACTGCATGCAGGAAAAAGGAGAAATCGCCCAAAAAATGCAGCAATTGTTGTTGTGTCTGTCCTTGCTTCTCTAGTTGTACTTCTGTCTCTGCTCTCCTTTTACCTCTGGAGGAAATTGCAAGCGAAACAATGTGAGTGTGAGCCACATGCTTCTTCTAGTCCTCTCCATTTTCTATTCAATATGTACTAAGGACTAACAAAAACGCATATGGTCAATGCCAACATAAGAAACAGCCATAGGTTCGACCACTCTATGTACGCAGTTGCAGCACAACCGACTGAACCAAGAGCCACCCATAGTTTGGATTGGAGAGTAAAACAACTCGTGCATTAGTGATTAAAAGAATTTCCCGGGCATTAGGCATGTGGAAAATATTTTTTATTTATCCAAAGAGCTGAAACTAGAATAGCTGAGTGAACTTAGAACAAAATGATTAGAACATCAATGGACAGTGATTTTAATCACTCGAGTGGACGTTCACTTGTTTATTGTATGTTAACTCATGGTAATGTCTGGTGATGATGAAAAAAATGTGTGTATAATGCAGATACCGATGAGAATGATATCTATTCAGGGTCACTTCTCTTTGACCTGGCAACACTAAGAAAGGCAACAGCTAGCTTTGCAGAACATAACAAGCTTGGTCATGGTGGTTTTGGAGCAGTATACAAGGTATATATACCTTGTTGCTGATGTTGATATGAAAATACAAATGAGAAATCTGCTGATATGATCTGACATTATTACTTATGTATGTTAGGGGTTTTTGCCTGATGGACGTGAAATAGCTGTGAAAAGGCTTGACAAGACATCAGGACAAGGCCTTGAACAGCTGAGAAATGAGTTGTTATTTGTTGCCAAACTCCGGCACAACAATCTTGCAAAGCTTCTAGGTGTTTGCATCAAGGGGGAGGAAAAGCTGCTCATTTACGAGTACCTGCCAAATCGAAGCCTTGACACCTTCCTTTTTGGTAACAACATATACACGAACTTGATCACTGCATTCCACTCTGATACACTAGTTAGTATTCTTTGCTACAATAATTACCATTATGCAGACAAGTGACAACTAGTAGCATGATTGGGTAGTGGATAGTAACTGAACATAGTTTTCATGAATAATAAATTTTGTATTTGGTAGATCCAGAGAAGCGAGGACAATTAAACTGGGAAACAAGATATCAGATCATACATGGGATAGCACGCGGCCTGCTCTACCTCCACGAGGATTCTCAGATAAAGATCATTCATCGTGACCTCAAGGCCAGCAATGTATTGTTAGATGCCAACATGAACCCAAAGATCTCCGACTTTGGCTTGGCGAGGCTATTTGATGGTACTAAAACTGCTAGTATCACAAACCATGTCGTTGGGACGCTGTAAGAAAATGATGAGACTCCGACAAATTCTTTCCTTACTTACATGCTGCTCTCTGGTTATAACGCATAAATTGTTTCGAATATACATATGTAGTCAACTTATGAAACTTGAGAAGAAATTAATTTTAGTTAGTTAGATTTTGCACATAAAAATATAAAGGTTATGTATCAGAATTTCAGAATTTACTCATAATCTGGAATGCATGCATGCAGAGGATATATGGCGCCAGAGTATGCAGTTCTTGGACATGTATCTGTTAAGTTAGATGTCTATAGCTTCGGAATTTTAGTCCTGGAGATTGTGACAGGAAGAAGGAACACTGATGTGTCAGGTGAAGTGGAAGAATCTAACAATCTGCTTAGCTATGTATGTCCTATCCTACTATTTAGCAAGAGTTATACAATTTCCTAGAACTAATGGCATTTTCCGTGCAATAAGACTTGATAACCATGCAATATTTCAGGTGTGGGACCACTGGGTGAAGGGGACGCCACTAGAAATTGCTGATGCATCACTGCTTGGTGATGGCCGCAGCCTATCAGATATGGAGCTGCTCAAATGTGTCCACTTCGGGCTCCTTTGTGTCCAAGAGAACCCAGTGGATCGGCCAACAATGCTCGACATTCTCGTCATGCTTCATGATGTTGACACCAATAGCTTTGTTGCACCATCAAAACCTGCGTTCACCTTTGCGCATGGTGGGAACACGACAAGTTCTAGCCAAGGTGTTGCCGCATTATCAACAAATGAAGTGTCCATATCAGAGTTTGTTCCTAGATAGAATAAAAATTACATTTATGCCACTCTGAACTACGTAGAGATATGCTGCTATTTAGTTGGGTCTTAGAAGTATATCACTCCAGAGGTACATTTATTTTCTTATATACCTTTTACATATGCTTTACCTTTTATCTTAAACCAATTTGCATAGCATATTACTGAATATATTCGAATATGGACTATGTATCACCCCCTTTTGGTGGCCATGATCCACCAGGTCCATATGCATTCAAGGAGATGCAAGGTTTGTTTTCCCATAACCGCCCAAATTACTTGGTCAAAATCTGTTTTACATTGTTTTGGTTTTGCAAACAAGTTTGTCATTAACCCGGGTCGATGGTCACACATCCCCCATGTTGGAGCATGATATATGTTGGCTAGCCGCCCAGGAACCAGGTCATGGTATTCTTCTACACTGAGACCCATTGCTCTAGCTACACAGGGGGCTGCCATGTGTATCATGTTCAGTAGGGTCAAGTGGTTCCAGGTCACCACTTCCTAGAGTTCTCCACATAATCATACCTAGGGAGGATGGCGGAACCCTGCACTACAGGTGACGTATCATGAGCGCCCCTTGGTAGGATGAGATAGGCCAAGTTGCCTGGTTGCGTACCAAAAACAGATAGATGGGTATCCATCTTAGGTTATTACAACGTCTTTGGAAGCGATGTGCAGGCTGCAAAACTTGTCCATCGCATGAACTGCAGATTTCCTTAACTTGCTTCTCAGCATTAATGTTGAGAGATGCGGTCTTGATCTCTCTCAGATGTTGCCTTTCAAACTCACAAGGGAGAGAGAAGACTATAGGTAGCCCAACGTTGAGCCTGATAGGAGTTACCCTAGGCTTATGATGGTATACAGTGCTTTGTGTCTCTCATTGGAGACACAACCAACTATTGAAGGTTATAAAAACCCATCCTAGATCCTGTAAAAGGGGTTAGACACTGAACTCAGGAAGGATACTAGGCTCCCAAAGCTAGCTCAAGAGCTCCACAAGGCTTGTACAAATTTCTCAAATAGTGATGAAAACCATGAGTAGAGTTGTTATATATCCTTCAGGAGGCCTCAACCTATATACATGCTTGTTATCTCTTGCTCGCGAGCACACCCGGACACAACTGCCAGCACCCAAACCATGGTTGATCCCTGTCTCGTGATTTCTCATGTCTATCAGTGCATGACACCGACAATTTGAATACACATATGTCTCATGTGTGGCCGAGTTGGAATGTAGAACATGTCACACTTGAACTATATCTTTCGCTTGGTTAATTGATGACATGGTGGCATTGAGAATGTCTTATAAAAGGCCTTTGACTTCATTGCGAGCCAACTTTTTAAAATGTGAATAAATCTAATTCATAATTCATGTTGTAGCGCCCAACAAGGGTGGCTCCATCTTTTGTTAAGTTGAGATAACTATGTTTGACAAGAAACATTCATGATCCCACTACAACAATATGAAATGTTTGTGTTGTGCCTTAGCAATCGATATACCTCTCTAAATATTATTGATCTTGCCAGTGTAGATTAATTTTATTCCAACAAGTGAATAAAAAACAAACAAGAACAAGATTAAATAGCCAATAGCAAGATGAAGGTTTCAACCCAAAAGCAATCAAAATTTCAGATAGCTAGATGAAGGTTTCGAATTGATAAAATCTCTACTACTTTAAAAGCGGAGTTCTCCTCCTCCTCCACCATTGTACTTTACCACCACGTAAAAAAACCACCCTGCCTAAAAAAATGTTATGCCACCAAAATTGAACCTATAAAACCATTCATCTGCCTCTCACAGTCCCATTGCAAAGCGAAGGCGTAGTACTAGTAAAAGGTATAAGATGAGGTTCGAAAGACAAGTAATCATGCGATATAGCTGATCCGGCAATAACAACGCAAAACTATCAATGGCTTAACTTCAATGTAAAAAAACCGAAATCATCCTCAAGTGTTCTAAGCTATTTAAAGATGTGGGAGGATGAACAAGGGAACTCTACGGTCGAGCTCCACTAGGTTGAAGCGTACTCAACTTGGGGGCTAGGTTCAAGACAAAATTACAAGCCTAAAGAACCAATACTTGTCAAGCAATAATTAAATTGTGTATTTTAAGAAATTAAGGAAAATATGTACAAGCATACATACCAATAGGTCCATGAAACATTATAACTATGATTTTTGAAATAAAATAGTTCAAATACTTTTAGTGTATGAAGAAAATATTTTTTGTAAGGAAATAGTTCAAATAATAAATTTTATAGATGATTTATTAGGTATAAAATTGGATAGAAAAACAAAATTACAATATAAAATGTGCTCTTTTATATACTACCTAGGCCATGAAAAATCGTCAGATGTAACTTAGGCATGCTCTGATTGGTGAAGAGCAAATAAGTAGACACGCAGAAAGGAGATAAAATTATTATCTATCATAGGGAGAACGTTAACAAACAAATTACAAGTAGAGTTAGCAAATTTAAAATAATAATTATGATGCTAAGATATTGCCAGAAAAAAAAGATAATGTTGAATTTCTCACCCAGGCATTTCGTCAAACACATAGTGGCCAAACATGCATTGACAAAGTGACCAAAGTTACCATTACAAAGGCATCAATTAGAATTTTTAGAACTGCATATCACTCTTTGGAACTTAATATCGAGATTTTGATGTCAAAGCTAACACTCTAATCCTAAATCAAACAACAAAAGCAATAGATTATTCTAGGACCTATAAAAATTGAGAGAGGCTACAATTTCACAAAGGTATATGTGGATATATATTCCAAAACTACAAATCTCAAGATTTTAATATTAGCAAAAAACATGATCAGAAAAATGAGAAATATTCGTAACTTGCACATGTGACCTACTGATATTGCACATAAATCATTTGTACCCTAGTTGTGCAAGTAATTAACAAAAATTCAAATCCTAGTAAAAACACTGCAAATCCTGAACCAAAGGAAGGCAGTAACAAATTTCTTAAATTAACATTCAGAGATTTAGTAAAAAAGTAACATTGAGAGAGGATGCAGTGCAAAAAAAAAAAATATGAACATCGTCTTTTTATTTGTGTTTGGATGTTTCTCTGCATCACAACAACCAAATTGAGAAATCAGAAAGAAAGGAACATTTACTGGTCAACACTGATCAATTTGCAGATCTGCTATACAACAAATGAACATTGGAACTGAACAGTTGTGATGTTTCTTTTTCACTAATAGTCTAATACATCACAGAGATTCTAAAATAAAAGAACTCAGCCCTAGGGGAGGAGATCATACAGAGATCACAAATTCCTGGAATTAATCAATTATCCTTGACCTTAACCATTTAAGTACTTACAACATAATTTAATATAACTTGCACATTCCTATGCACACAGGCATTTATGTGCAATTGTGCAGTCATGCACACAACCTCCCGGAGCCTTCTGATCAAGATCTAGTGGCCAATTCTCAAGCGTGGATTTTTTCCCCAAATAACTGTCCGCCTCCTCCACTCACGTTTTATAAAGTACCCCCTCACAATACTTCTCTTCGCTCAACGATCACCTTGCCCATCTACTTGCACGATAAGAAAGGGAAATAACACGGGAAGGTAGCTAGAGAACAATAGTGAAGACTCAGGCCACAGAGGCGAAGAACAAGTAGGTTGGGATGGTGGGCTTGGTTCCAATGTCGAGTGTGTCCATACAGAACATATCGATCAAGAGGGCATCGATGGTGGGTGGCGAGCAGAGGACCTCAAGGGGTTGGCGAGCTGAAGCGAGTTGAAGTAGCTTGACCGGGTTCATGCCGACATCGAGGCTAGACTGTGCTAGCAGGAGGCGGAACATGATGGAAGGATTAGCTGCAGCGAGGTGCACCATTGCGTTGACCAAACACCGAAGTGGCGTCATTGTCCGGTGGGTCGATCACCGTGAGAATGATGCCGAGGCCGTGGCGGCATAAGTGCTTGGCTATCTTCACCATTGGGTTTAGGTGGCCAGGTAACAGCACAGACATCAATGTTCATGGCTATCAATTGCTCCGATGAAATGGGATGCAAAATGAAAATAAATGTAGAATCAAATCATTTTTTTGGCACTGTTGATTGAGGTCATCCTCGCTTTGTCTCCGCCGGCGTTGTCATTGCCGCCTCTGAAGATGAGCTGATGTGTTCTGAAAATTTAAACAAAAATCAAAATTTCAAAGCTCTAAAAGGCTTATATAATTTTTGCTTTAATTTTCAGAACACAATGACCATTTCCCGATTATTTGCTTGAATAGTTATTGTGTTGTGAAAATTTAAGCAAAAAATATTTAAGCCTTTTAGAGCATGGTAAATTTAATAAAAATACTCTAAACCCAATTTGATTTTTTCTTGTACGACTTTTATTTTTTGAGATTTAATAAAAATACTCTAAACCCAACTCGGCCGGCTGGGCGGCTTAGTGGGCTGGACTAGGGAGGAAGAAAATAGGAAACTTGAGAGACCCAAATTAGAATTTTGCTAAAAGATTTAGTTAATTCTTTAAAGATCGAGTTTGCAAAAAAGGTTTTGGTAAATAATTATTAATTCCTTTCATTTGTAAAATAATTCTTTAAAGGAATATAATTCATATGAAAGGCTTTTTAGGAAAACAATTAGTATTTCCTTTTATTAGCAAATATTATCTTAATTGATATATTTCATAATCATGGTTCTTTAATAACTATTATTTTGAATCCATAATTGAATTATATTCCCAATTTTCATTATTTTGGCACTGGCAGAACAGGAAAAAGAAAAGAAAATCAAATAAATTCCAGCATGAAGAAATTTTGAAAAAGATTTTTGATTATTCCAAATTTTTGTTTACGTATTTTAAATTCGAAATTTTCAGGGTGTTACAGATACTGTGCTAGCCTCTCCTCACCAATCCGTCTTTCTCCACGTCTCAGGCAGTTGCCGCCTATTTCACCTTGAGCTCAACTGATCCTAATAGAACTCCTCGACTCCAACCCCTAGCTTGGTCAGCCTTGGTGAATCCCCTTCCCTCTTTGCCGTGGCCGCTAGCTACGTTTTCTTCAGCGGTCGAGATATCGCTACATCTAACCTCCACTTCTTCTCTTATTGTGATCTCGAGAAGATCTTCCCACTACATGTCTCTTGTTGCAGTTGATTGTCCCTCGAGAAGCCCAACCAAATCTGGTGAATGTGACAGCAGAGGACCTACGAGGGTCACGGTGATTTTGGCGGCAGCATGCTGTCAGGGGCCAAGATACCAGGAGAAAGCTACTCGATTCCCTTTTCTACTCCTTTTCAAATGACAACTATTGGAGAATCACAGATGTAGGAGGGAGAACCAAGTGCCATGGGCTGGGCCAGATTCAGATGTTAGAGAGGAGACAACGTGGTCCGAATGAATTGTGATGCTTCACAATTCCTAGGGATTTATTTGGATGGTTATTCTGAATACTTGGATTGATATTTTTAATTCGAACTTTTTATTTCAATCACAATTTTTTCAGAAGGTCAAGGAAGAGTGTCTTGACTGGAGAAGTTCTAACATTTGGGATGAAGTCTGAATTTCGGATGAATTTGAATAATTCTTGGAGAATGAAATGGATGGGACAACTAGGGAAGAATTCAAAGGGGATTCGAACTTAAATTTAATATTTGATTTCTCATCAATATCATAAATATAAATGGAGAAAGTGGATATGGTCATCTGCTCATTTGAGTGAGTGTTGATATATGTGGATTTCGAATAAATTTGGAAAAGAAGATGCTGATAGGAAGCGAAATTAAGAAAATTTAGAAATGAAAATCTGAATTTGCTTTCAAATTTCCAAACTGAGTTTAGGAAATTTATGGGGAAATTTTAAAGGAGGTATTTGGGAGTTTTGATCTAAAATTCAAAATAATGCGTTGAAGGAAATTTGGGAGTTTAGATGGGTAATTTGAATTTCAAATTTTAAATCCTGAGATTTTTAATTGAAAATCTTGGATTGGGATTTCAGGGTAAGAAGGAATGATTTAGTTGAGATCTTGGCACTAGGTCCAACTTTACAATTACTAAAATAACTTTTTTAAAAAAATAAATGGCAATGTAGAGTATATCTCAAACTGTTTTCGTTAGTTTTTTGTGCACGTTTGGATGTAAACTCTTTGAGATGGCAGCATAATAGTACCACACACAGTAGCATATCGCACCTGAGAAGTTCACAAATTAATAGACAAAACTACGAAGTGTTGATCTGACCAGCTGGCCAATATCAATGATAGTGCGCGCACAAAATTAACTAGGGAAATTTGTCTATACATATATGAACATTGAGGAAATAATTGTGGCCAACAGCTTTACATAAGAGGTACAAAGATCATGCTAATATATGAATGCGTGAACCACAAGATTTGTGTTTTGAAGAAGTACAAGATACGGCAGATCGGCTGGCGGCTATGTATGCATACTATATTGGGCGTCCGGTGATTTAATTTTTACCTAAAGTCAACAATATATTTGTAATGTCTCACCAACCTGGATGTTGTGTTGGTCTATATATGATCTACCGTCTCAACATGAGTGGCACCTGGTGTATGAAACAACATGCTAATTAGTAGTTATTTAGTGGCATTGTATAGATTATATTTATTATATTTTGTATACACAACATGCTAATTAATAATTATTTAGGCGGCTAGATGAAAACTACATGTTATTAACATATAGACAGTTGTGTGTTTATAGATCTGTTCTATATAGTGTGTATCATTAACAGCGACAACTTTTATACCAATTATATACTTGCAGGCAATGGATCTATTGCTATTGGTTTTGTTAATTAAGGTGTAGTATCTATGATTCTCAATTTCTCATAATAATATTACACAGCTATATAATATAAAGTGATTCTACCTTATATCAACATGATTCTAAAGTTCATTCAAATAGATCATATCATCACCCACTAATAACTCACTAGTAATTATTAACATCTAAAGATCAACATGCAAATATGCAACATCATCATCCGCACTAACAAATATATCAAATCATTATTCTCCATATAATGTTTTATAATATTTTCAAGATATATCCATCCATTTCTATAGTAATTAACGCACTTTTCATCCGCAGTAAAGCGCTTGACATCAGCTAGCTTACTCTAATTATTGATATAATAATCTATAACCTGCATTGACTTACTCTAATTTTTACACTTACATCGGCTTGATCAAATTAATGTATTCGTGTCATCCCATTGGCGTATACTTGGAGCTCAGTTGACTTGAACCGGCCGGCCGTTGCACAACACTATAATTAAGTCCACAGCTTCACACATCTTCTCCTTCTATTCGATCGATTTTCCCAGACGCCATGGCTACACGCGTGTTATTGTCGTCGAAGGTGATATTAGCACTAGTTCTCGCGTCCCTCTTCTCCCTCCCGCGCCATGGCCGCGCTCTGGAGCTCATGAACTGGTCATGCAACAACGGCAGCGCCTATGCCGCGAACACCACCTACGACACCAACGTCCACAGCATCCTCGCCACGCTGACCGCCCGCACACCCAATACTACCACCGGCTTCGCCACCGCGACCACTGGGCGCGGCACGGACACGGAGGCGTGGGGCCTCGCGCTCTGCCGCGGCGACACCGACCGCGTCGGGTGCGCGTCCTGCCTCGCCGCGGTGCCGGCCGTCGCCTTCAACGAGTGCCGGGGCGACATGGACGTGACCGTGTTCTACGACCGCTGCCTCGCCCGGTTCTCGTACGTGGACTTCACGGCGAGGCCCGACAACACGGAGGTCCTGATCGGGAGCCCTAGCGCGGACCGCATCACCGCCGACGCCGGCCACTTCGACGCGCTCGTGGCGGACCTCGCCGGCGCGCTGGCCGACTGGGCGGCGTACAACTCGACGTTGAGGTACGCCGCTGGGGTGATGACCTCCGGCGACGGCTTCATGTCGACGACGGAGGACATGGTGCACAACATCTACGGTGTGGTGCAGTGCACGCCCGACCAGGCGGCGGCGGCGTGCCGGGCGTGCCTGGAGGCGCTCAGGGTGGACATGCCCAAGGTGTTCGCTGGAAAGATGGGAGGGAGGTTCAACGCGGTGTGGTGCAACCTTAGGTACGAGACCTTCGTCTTCTTCGACGGCGACCCTTCGGTGAAGCTCGTCGCGCCGCCAGTTGTTCCGGAGGATGGTATGAACTTCGCCTCGTGTAAAATTATGATAGACCTCACATCGTCCTGCACTTTTCACATAATCTCGAGAACAGTAATGTTGTTTTTGTTTTCTACCCCCTATAATAAAGTAGCATAGCATCGGATGAGACATTTCGTTGTACAACCAATTTGGACAGAACGGTGTCTGATTCGTTATAATTATATCTGAAAGTTTTTAGATAACTTTTATGTTAAAAGTTATATATAGGTAGTTCCTTTTTCAAGAAAAATAATACTAGTTTAATTTCCTTCCATGGCTTTCTTGTCACTGGCCGGATCATGGTATAAATATACTCTCTCCAGTCACAAATACTTCAAATTTTGAATATAATATATCTGCTCAAACTTTTGGAAGAACCATCAATAACTTAAATGTATACTTAGTTTTGAAACAAATAAATGGGTGTAGATTTGCTTTGGAAAATTCTACCGTAATCCTATAAACATATTGAAACATTTTAAGCTAATTCTAATATAAATTATAGTTACGGGCTCAGTTACATCTCAAATATTATAAACAAAACATCAAGTATTTTTGACTAGACGGAGTTTTAAAAAGACGACCAACAGCCAATACAATTAAACCACTGGTCCAAACAACTCTGATTCAGTAATAATAAAAGAGGTAGTGCACGAGACTTAAAAGTGGATGGATGTGGAAGATAAGGGTTTATACATGTTTTGATGGATTTTATCTGCCGGATGTATTGCTCATGGTGATCTTGCGGTATTGTTTATGTCGATGTGCCCTTTGAGGGGACTCTCTGCGTGCCTTATATAGGTTGGGGGCAAGGTTACAAGTAGAAAGTCTAGGCGAATACAACTTTGATTATCTTATCTGTATATAATAATATGGTAGTATTTAGCTTGGACCCTATACTCCACCTTGGGATAAAAGGTAACATGACAACCGAGTATTAATTTATCTTATATTATATGAATGCAGTCCGCCTCTTATATATAGTCGGATATGTACGCCTTGTGGATATCCACTACCCATATTCTTTAAGAATGCAATGTACTGTGGCAGTATGATATTATTTTAGTATTTGTAATTTCTTTTTGGAAAAGACCAGTGGTTGAAGTTTCAAAATGAATAGCATTCATTATAAGTTATTTTGAAACGGATGGAGTATATGGCAGGTGGTTTTTAGCTAGTCATGTTAGTGTGTTTCACTTTAAAAAAGAATCCAATGTCTAGCGTGGGTTTGCTCTGATTGTCCAGACATAACGTGGCGTTACACTTAACTGCAGGAAAGAGGAGAAGCAGCCCCGAAAATGCAGCAGCAGTTGTTGGAGCTGTCCTTGGTGCTTTAGTCATCCTTCTGTCTCTGTTCATCATTTACCTCTGGAAAAAATTACAAGCAAAACAATGTGAGTTGAGTTTGAGTGTTTTGTGTAAGCAACATGCATCTTCTGGTGATTTCTTCTGCAATTTCTATTGGAAATGATTAACAAAAAAAATACATGGTCAACCAAATTGCAACAAGCTGAGCCAAATTAGATTAGATAGATAGATAGACAGACAGACAGATAGATAGATCTCCCAAGTCCTAATTGCCTTGTCCAACTGAGGTCCATCCATGGACTTAGTACATCATGGGGTACAGATTATAGTGGAGCATAACTGAAAATATTTGGATCTTCATCGAGTCCAACAAGCTACATCAAGCATAGGGCTGGCGAATTGTTACAATAGACAAATAAAAACTGCCATTAGACAGATAAAAACGACAAAACATAAAAAGTCACCAACTTAAGAACTCCAAAGCTAGTTCACAGCCTGGAAACTACTGCTACGTACGTCATAAAAACATGATCAATCTAAACCAAAATCTAAAATCATGATGACTCCTAAACAATGGAGAATTAACTTATTTAACTTAACTGCATCCTAGATATGTTTTGGTTGGATCAAATCAATCAAATTTGTACTATAACACAAAATCAACAATTTACGCAATACTGAGCAAAAATAAAAAGATATGAAAGAGCAGTACTTCTTATTGTGGGAAGATAATATTTATCATATCAAGATGTTTACAAGGTGAATCCACTATAGTAGTCAAACATGCATGGAGTAAACCCTAGCAACTATGTATTCTCGTTGTATAGTGTTTATATATACCTAATCAGACTATAAGGAATTAAGCCTTGAAAATTACATCTCTATCAGGATATCCTATTAGCAAGTTTCCACACATATATTCCAATCCATATCCAAATTTTCCATAATACACACATTTCTCATATATGCAATACAGAAACATCTCCTTCATCTGCACCGTATTCAAGATTGAGCATCCTGCGTGATATGCTTAACCTAGTAGACCTCAACTATCTTTGAGTCTAAATCCGATCCGTATCGGTGCCCACGCTCTATATGTTCCAAGCAAAGCCTACATATAGGACCGTTTTCCATGCATAAGTACTCTTCCCAACTTAATTAAAACTAGCACAAATGTAGTTCATGTAACATACACAAACCATTAGACATTATCCACAACGCATAAACACAAAAATGAACGTGGATTTCCAAAAGTCCAACCTAAATGATGAGCTGAACAATCTGGTGTGCAGTTCAACATACCACTCGGCGGCCAGTTTGGTCACCACATATTTTTTTTTAGTTAACAACATGGTTCAAATGGTCCAAGAGTGGTTGTGTATGTGTAGAACCTTGGTTGTGGCTCTAGTTGGATGCATGCCCATTGAGGCCAAAGCCTTGAAACTAGAAGTTTTGTTCCCATGTCGCGGGGACCTACTCATGGTGATAGTGACTTGAGCCAGTCATGCTAACATAAGTGATACTAGAAGTTAGGTCATATATGAATTGTGCAGACACTGTTGTGTTACATGCAGTCGGTTTAGTCCGGCCATTTGATTTTGGTTATGGGGTAGGACAACATAAAAGGTAGAAGCTAGTTTTTAAGTTTTGTAAGCTTAATATCTTGGTTAGGACAGGCCCACTAAGATATAGGCCTAGAGTGTTGTTCTAGAGTCCTGTCGAGCCACCTGTGTGCTTTGATTGGGTAACCAGAAAAAGTAAGTTGTCCATGACGCACATACAAAATATTATGATAAAACTACAAAGCGCGAAGACAATGTTTGAACATCGACGTATTCATAATTCATGCCTATCTAGAATGTAATGTGTTTTTAATTATAATGCAGATGCTGCTGACAAAAATGTTGACTCAGGCTCACTTCTATTTGATCTGGCAATAATAAGAAAGGCAACAGCTAATTTTGCAGAACACAACAAGCTTGGGCATGGTGGATTTGGAGCAGTATACAAGGTTTACACATCTTGTTACAGTATATGATATGAAACTACCATGGAAATGTCTATTGATATGATATGAACCATTAATTTCAGGGGTTCTTGCCAGATGTAGGTGAAATCGCTGTGAAAAGGCTTGACAGGACATCGGGACAAGGCCTTGAACAGCTGAGGAATGAGCTCTTGTTGGTTGCCAAACTCTGGCACAACAACCTTGCAAAGCTTCTAGGTGTTTGCATCAAGGGAGATGAAAAGTTACTCGTGTATGAATTCCTGCCAAATCGAAGTCTCGACACTATCCTTTTTGGTAAGACCATATACACATACTATCAATACATTTACTATACAATTATTATTCTAGGCTGCAAGAATCATCATTAAGTTGACAACTATTACTATAGCTTATTATTCTCTGCTATGGGGTCCCTCCTGTCACAAATGTTCGACATTTGGACTACTACGTCCGGTCAAACTTTTAAAACGTTGACGACCGTTGAATTTCAAACTATTTATTTTTGACTTGAAAAGTGCATAATTTATCTCCTAAACATATAGGGTTTGATAAATTTTTTTTCTAATGAACATAGTAAAATTCAAACAAGAATTATTTTTGAATATGTTTTGCATGCGTGAACTTTTTTTTTTTACCTAGCAGACCCACAGAAGCGAGAACAATTAAGCTGGGAAACGAGATACCAGATCATACACGGGACAGCACGAGGCCTACTCTATCTTCACGAGGATTCCCAGATAAAGATCATACATCGCGACCTCAAGGCTAGCAATGTGCTGCTAGACTCCAACATGAACCCAAAGATATCTGACTTTGGCTTGGCGAGGCTCTGTAGTGGAACAAAAACTACAAGTATCACAAGCCAAGTCGTCGGGACACTGTAAGAACAAATGATCGATTGTGAAAAATTCCTTCATTCCTTACTAGGGTACACTATTTCGGTATTGAAAACATTTCTCGGTGGGTAGAAAATTCTGATTTTTTATATTTTCAGTATGTTGAACAAAAAGATAAGTTTAAAAAACTTTCGATTAAATTTAACCAGGTATTTGCTAAATTTAAAAATTGAAGTGTTCTTTGAGAAAAAACAACCAACTGGGATGCACCAATAAAGACAATGTTTGCGAATTTTGAAAATTGTCAAGTATATTCCGTAAATGTTTTATCCTCTTTGTTTCATGTATTAGTAACTTTAGTCACATGGAAGTTACCTATATATCCAATAATATGTTGGTTATAGTATAATTGAACAAAATTTTATGAATAAATAGGAATAGAAACTTGCGTTAAGATGCAGCTGCTAGGAGATAGTCACATTGCTTCTCATTTTAGGCATTGACACTGTAACGAATGCATACAGGGGTTATATGGCACCAGAGTATGCAGTGCTTGGGCACCTGTCAGTCAAGGTTGATGTCTACAGCTTTGGTATCTTAGTATTGGAGATTGTGACCGGAAGGAGGAATACCGATGTGTTCGACGCAGACGAAGAATCTAGCAATCTACTAAGCTATGTGCGTCCTATTGATCAATTGTTCTATGATTTCCTTAAAGCAATGGCATTTTTCATGTTGAAAGTACTCATCAATCTACGGACTAAACCTTGTGATGTTTCAGGTATGGGATCATTGGCAGAAAGGGATACCACTGGAGATCACTGACACGTTGCTGCTGCTCAGCGGTAGCCGGGGTTTGCAGGACATGGAGCTGCTCAAGTGTGTCCACATCGGGCTCCTCTGTGTCCAGGAGAACCCGGCAGACCGGCCGACAATGCTGAGTGTCCTTGTCATGCTTCAGGATGTTGACACCACCAATTTTGCTGCACCATCGAAACCGGCATTTACTTTTGCGAATGTTAGGAACACAACAAGCTCTAGCCCTAGCGCTGCCGCATTGTCCGCGAATGAAGTATCAATATCGGAGTTCCATCCTAGATAGAACAAAATAATTCATTGGTGCCACTCTGAAATTACCACTTTAGAAATATGCAACTTCATAGTGGCATTGCCTTAAGCTCATATCTTTTTTAACCAATTTGCATTCCATATTGCTAATTATATTGGCACATAGACAAGAATGACATTTTCTACTCCGAGCTCTAGCTAATCTCAGCACCACATCATCCTGTCACCAACTCCCACAACAACGTATCCTTTCCGCCGATACATCCTTATCATACAGTTGATAATAACGCGTATGTAGGTTGCCACAGGAATTGTCTGAGTCTCAAGCCCCCACTTCTCCTTTGCACAGGAGCAGTATTACTTGGCATTGAATGGAATGAAGACACATTGTCACCACCCTGATTTTGGATGAAACTTATAGTTGCATCAGATATGTATAAAAAGTTGGTTAGTTATATATCTATGACTTGGAGTTGTACTAGGTATATTAGAACATATGTTAGGCCCATATATCTTAAGTCCCTCTTAAACATAGTAAAATAACTGGGCCGGACCAACGATTGAACCGGAAAAAACCAGAACCAGTAGTCTCACTGGGTAGGTTTGCTTCAAAGATCGCCCATGCAAATGAACTGGTATAAACCCGGTGAACCGGACGGTTTATGCGAAAAACTGGTGACCCAGGCTATCCTAAACTGGCGGGTCGGCTAGTAGATGGGCCGACCTTCCAAGGCCCACCTCGCTTCCAGCAGCCCAAGTTCATTTATTTGCCTAAAAATGATAAAAAAAGTGCTCTTTTGGGGATTCGTTCCCTGGTTGCCAATAGCAAGGATGTTCCCATCACCACTAGCTAGCTTGAGCTCCTTGTTTGGATAAAATTATGCGTATAACATGATGGTTCTGGTTCAGCATTAGACTGGTTGACCCAGCAGTCCAACCGGTGAACCGATGAACCGAGGGCTCAAGCAGTTCGATGACAGGTCCGATTTTTCTACTATGCTCTTAAATAGTGAGGATCATCTGCATAACTAAGGGCAACTATAGCATAGGTGAATGAATATATGGCTTGCCAATGGTGGTTGATACCTTTATTTAAAAAAATTATAATTATGACTCTCTTAAAAAACACAGTAATCATGCTAGCTTGCAGTAAATCTAGCATTGATGGTCAATACTCCCATGTATAAAGGTTTTTTGGCTTACCTTTGTTGCCAAATATTCTGCTATTTTTGCGCTCATCTTGTTTGGACATCAGTGATTTAACTCAAGATTTCAATATATCATCTAAATTCACCATAAATGAAGGATATAGGGAGAGGCTTAGGTCAAACTGAGCACCAACAAACATATAATGTCAATATTGGCACACTGTTGACGAAAAAATCGAACACACCGGCCTGGGAGATCTGATTAGCTCCTGTGCAGGTCCAAATCATGATGAGATGCGGGCGTGCCAGTCAATTTGATCCTGCAACTGACAAGATATGCAAATAGTAGATCAAAACAGCCGATCGGCTGACAAGCCGATGGAGTAGTTCTAGCCGATAGCCGATAATAGCCGATGCCGATACCAGCCGATGTCGATAGGGTTTAAGTAATCGGCTATATGTCCAATGTAGATAATGATATAAAGGCAATCGGCTGATGATGATGTAATAAAATAACAATATAATCTAGTATAAACCAATCGGCTAGCAATGATATGATAAATAAACATCAATCCGAAGGTTAAAGCACACATCGGCTGGAGGTCCGATGTCATGAAATCCACAAGATTAGATTAAACAGTGAAACCTTTATTGTCATCGGCTAAATCCAACTTATATGTATTTGCAATCCTTATAAGCCGATGCAACGTCCAGATAACTCACTGGCTGAAACCCCGATGAAACCCTTATTGGCAATCAAGAAGCAGGCTAAAGATTATGGTTCTAAGCACGACTTAGTAGATCAAACTTAACTGATGCAGCACTAAGTATGAAAAGAAACATAATATCTAGACAATCAAGCCGTTGACTGATTTTCAGGGTGGTAGATGCCTAAGCTAATCTAATAGCAAGGCGATTTAGCCGATACCGGCAGAAACCCTAAAGCGAGAGACAGCCGATAGAGCTAAATTGAGATGCTAGGACTAGATTAACATAGACATATGATAAATAGCCAGCCAAATATATTATCCAAACCAGAGTAATCCAAGAGGTCGAATGTCCTGATGCAGCCTTGAACGACGCCGACGTAGACGATACAATTGCCTGGACCGGCAGAACATTGGACTTATCCCTTCGCCGGAGATCGAAGACGATGCAGCCCCGCGTCGAGTGCCAAGTTCCGCCGGAACGTAAAAACAAAAGTAGAAGTAGAAAGGGTGGCGATGCACTGAATTGTATTGATCATAGCGATAGATTATATAGACCCTGGGTGTATATATTTATACCCATGGGTTGATACAAGTCCTTGTCAGACAAGAAAGAAACTTTCCTAAAGATAAAAGGCAAGATAAAGTCCTTATAGGACACTGAACACACTTTCCTAAAGATAAAAGGAAACTAACAAACTATTCCTAATTAATAGATAACTTGCCATGCCGCATTCTCTTTGAACTCGGTCTCTTCTGGATAAGCTTCCTTTAGTAGATCAATTTCCTTAACCGAATATAGCAAGAATCTGACAACTGATGACTTGACAACTCTCATCGGCTAATCTCATGACTTCAAAGCCGATGCTGACTCTAAGCCGATGACTACTCCGGGCTTACCAAATTTCACTGTTAACACACACGTGGGTGCGATGTTTTTCACCGGAACGAAAAGGTTCAAAAAACACCAAAACATGATGTTTGGACCTATTGGAGTGGATTGTGTGCGTTCGTTTTGAAAAATCAATCCGTGAGTCGCGCGATGAACTTTTGTCATTTAATGCCAATATTGGCAAACGTCGGTGGGATGTTTTTCACCAGAACACACCAAAACATGAGTTTGGGACATATTGGAGTGGATTTGGTGAGTTCGTTTCGAAAAATCTCTCCGTGACTCGCGTGGTAAATTTTTGTGAATTAATGCCTGTATTGGCATATATCCATTGAATTTTGAACCTAAGGAGCAAAATCTCCCTCTCCCCTAGCTGGTCCAGTAGCAATAGAGCTCCTCTCTATTTTACCTGCTTAACTAAGAATGGAGGTGCAAATTATGTTTGTCAGTGCTATATATGTCGCCCTTTTTTTTTTTAACAAAACCAACACAAAATGATATATGTCACTTGTTTAACAAAACCAGCACAAATGTGCCACATATGACATTCGTGCCGGTTATCATTTTGAACCTGCACATACAAGGCATCGCATGACCCTTGGGAGGCTATTATATATATGTGCTGGTTCTTTTTGGTAAACATGATATATAAGGCGGTACCGTCATATGTGTTGGTTATCAACTTTGGTCCGCTACACGGCTCACGGTAGGCAAGGAATGCCTCGTATGCGCAACTAGATGAGTATCCCGCATGTTGTTGCGGGATAATTATATGATAAAATAGTAGATATGAGTTGTGAAATTTTTTATTATATGATTTTCTTTCATGTGTTTATATATTTTTTACCTTGATCAATTATCTAAAGGTTATAAATGATTGAGTTGTATGGTATGGCTTTGGGGGAGGGAGATGCAATTGCACCCTTGATAAATAATCCAAATGTTACAAACAATTAAGGTGATGTGGCTTCATGAAAGAAGAGAGAGATGAATTTTATAGATATACTAGATAAATACCCGCTGGCACTGTTGCGGAAAATTAAGTTGTATAATATGTACAAATAAACTGCGATATGTTTTTTAAAACAAAAAAAAGACTTTCTATGTTCTATATAATTTACACATGGTCACAATAATTGATATTGCATGGTCTTATAAGAGAAGAAAGAATAGATAATTTGTACCATAGATCTATCATCCAAAAGATAATAATAATTGGGATGATATGGCTTCATCAGAGAAGAGAGAAATAGCATTAACTACACTTATTGGGGATGAGCTATAAGTATATGGCAACGTATCAGGTGAAAACCAGGTAAGCTGTGCAACCTTGGAAACTCTCAATCAAGACCACACGATGCTCATCCGATGGCTAGTGACATAGGTGGGGTACTTTTACACTTAACGCCCGCCAATCCCAGCGCCCTTTCCTGGTTTTTTGCAAATCCACCCCCTAAGGCCCTAATCCGCCAGCGCACGCTGCCCAACGTCGTTTCGTTTTCTTGCTGCCGCCCGCTCTTCGCCGCGATTCGCCGCAGCCCCTTTGCCGCGCCGCCCCATGGAGTGCTCCTTCACCCTCCGCAGGAACGCCTCGTCCTTCCCGGCCAAGAACAGCTGTTATCTTCAGTGCATGTCTGCTGCTGTTTGTTCTCTGCAGTTATCTCCAGTGCATGTGCATAGAACAAAAAAAAAAGCAGGTTGTGTCTAGTGGCAATATAGATGTTGCAGGACCCAGCATCATCTTGAGACACTTCTCAAAGCTGAGAAGAGGTCCAATGATCTGGAGTCATTAGTTATTCAACTCACTTTGCTGCTGTAAGGAGGAAAAAAGAGGAGATTTTGTACTGCAGAAAATCTCAATCGTTGAGTGTATTGCTTTGCTCAACTCTTTTTCTTGGGCAATGTATGATGATTCAGTCATGAGGGCAATGTATGCAGTACTATATACTTGTTCCTCACAACAGATACAGACATATGCACAGAGAAAGGACGTCGCGCGCGAGCGGCGGCGAATCGCGGCAAAGAGCAGGCGCCGGAGGCGAATCGTGGGCGGCGTGCGCTGGCAGATTAGGGACTTGGGGGGAGGGGTGGATTTGCAAAAAAACCAGGCAAGGGCGCTCGGATTGGCGGGCGGTTAAATGCAAAAGAAACCCACCTCTGTCCCTAGCCATTGGATGAGCATCATGTGGTCTTGATAGAGAGTTTCCAAGGTTGCACAGCTTACCTGGTTTTCACCTGATACGCTGCCTAAGTATATAGGATAGGATACGTGTTGGGTGCTGGTGAACCGATGTATGTGGTGGAATCACCTATTTCTTTTTTACATTGAGAAAGTTTAACTGATCTGAGATAATTACATCAAGATGATACAATTAGTTTAAGGCCATTCACGGCCTCTACATATCTACGATTATTAAACATGAAAAGGAAAGAACGGCAAGACAATAAATATCATGCCATGGCCAGCTACAACAACAACCAATCATCCACATCATCCACCGAAGCAATACTTGGACTAGCATAATGGTTTTCCTAAAACAATGCCTTCAACATGAAAACGGTAATTGCCATTGCTAGGTACTACCAGCTAATTTTGGACCATAATCCCGGAGGTGAGGAAGGGTATTTGAAGAGCATCAGCTAATAAAAGTTCCACGGTACTATGGTCCCCTTGTTTCGAGGTGATGTAGCTATGCCTCCCAGTCTTAGCACAACTATAATTGGCCATAAACACCACAACCGACCTGCAACCTTGTTTGGATGTGCTACCCAACGATGATCATTTCGTGAGGAAGACAATAGGCATACACCCACAATCCATATTGTCCATCTAAAGAATGAATGAGATGTGGGTGTAAGCATACCATGAATAGAAATCAAGATGATACTAGTCTATAGGTTGATGTGGAAAACCCTAACTAATGATGAAAACACCGTAATAATGATTAGCCCGAGATGGTGGTAGTCAGGGTCAGATCTACCCATGATTCCTTTGAATCGGTTGGCCAAATGGTTGGAGCCCCCATTAACGCCGGGGGATTGGGGGTGCGCTGACCTGCTGCCATCATTCTCAGATGACAACGCGCCACTTCTGATGCCTAAATGTTGTGCCAAAGCTGGAGTTGTGGTCACATCATGACAGACATGTCAACAAATAATTTCTTTACTTGTGTACTCTGTGCCGATAAAAGATTTTAGTTTGCCATTGAATTGCATGCATTGAAAGAAATAACAAATCTAGTCACACTTTACTAATAAAAAAATTATTTGGCCGGAGTCGAGCCTGCACTTTTTATTGTACATTAGCTGCCTCCGACAGCATCGACGCAGCTGGGGGACCCGTGGCCCTGGTGAGGCCAGCAGAGCAGAGAGGCAGCGACAGAAATGGGTTCTGTGAGACTTGTGTAACTAGAAACCGGCATTATCATAAACAGTTGCTA